AAAAAAAAAAAAAGAACCAGGACACACCTTGGACCGTCATTTTCTTTTTTTTAGACAGAGTCTTGCTCTGTCGCCCAGGCTGGAGTGCACTGGTGCGACCTAGGCTCACTGCAACGTCCGACTCCCAGGTTCAAGCAATTCTCTTGCCTCAACCTTCCCAGTAGCTGGGACTACAGGCGTGTGCCACCATGCCTGGCTAATTTTTTGTATTTTTAATAAAGGCGGGGTTTCACTGTGTTATTCAGGATAGTCTCGATCTCCTGACTTCGTGATCTGCCTGCCTCGGCCTCCCAAAATGCTGGGATTACAGGTGTGAGCCACTGCGTCTGACCCGACTTCCATTTTGTAAGGGGTTCCATCCATGTTTTCATAGCAAACCATCTGTGCCTGTCACTATCCACAGACCTATTCCACCTGCTAAGGGAAAGGAAACAACACACCTGGACCTTGATTTGTAAGAAGATTGGCCGGGTGTGGTGGCTCATGCCTGTAATCCCAGCTCTTTTTGAGGCCAAGGCAGGCAAATCACCTGAAGTCAGGAGTTCAAGACCAGCCTGGCCAACATGGTGAAACCCCGTCTCTACTAAACATACAAAAAGTAGTTGGGCGGCATGGTGGCGGGCACCTGTGAGCCCAGCTACTTCGGAGGCTGAGGCAAAGAATTGCTTGAACCCGGGAGGTGGAGGTTGCAGTGAGCCAAGATAGCATGGGCAACAGATCGAGACCCAGTCTCAAAAAAAAAAGACTGTGAAGAACTATATAAGCAATATTATTACCAACTTGCTCTCTAACTCTGGGCAGAAAGAGATCTAATAAAAATGGGCTATGCTAATCTACTTACACTGATTTCTACTTTTCTTTCACAACCAGGCTTCATTTGTCTCACCAGAACTATGTATGTGGAATTCTTTTAATCTCATGGCACAATTTATGATTCAGTAACACAATGAGTTAGTGTATTTTAAAATTTCCAAACATAGGTTTTTTTTCTTCCCCAAGTTTTTGTTATGGTTATTTAATTATGTTGTAGACACACTTAATAGCTTATATGATGCTGCTTCTTTGATATTTGAGATTTGCAAATGTTCCACATATTTGAGAAAAACATATATTCCTTAAATGTTGAGTAAAGATTTCTAAATATATCTATTTGGTTGGGTGTGGTGGCTTACACCTGTAATCCCGGCACTCAGGGAGGCTGAAGTGGGTGGTTCACTTGAGCCCATGAGTTCGAGACCAGCCTGGGCAATATGGTGAAACCCGTCTCTATCCCCCCCCAAAAAAAAAAAAAAATTCTGATCACTTGAGCCTGGGAGGTGGAGGTTGCAGTGAACCAAGGTTGCACCACTGTACTCCAGCCTCGGCAACAGAGCAAAACTCTGCCTCAAAACAAAACAAGATTTCTAAATATATCTATTAAGTAAAAATGAAATAGAAAACTTGATTAGCTCTATAACAAAGAGGCTGAACTGGCACTCAACTCAAAAGAATGGCACTAGAAGTGAGAAGCAGAAAAAACACAGGAATTACATTTTTTGTTCAGCGTTAAGGACTCTACAAGCTTTAAAAAAAAAAAAAAAAATAGGCCGGGCGCGGTGGCTCAAGCCTGTAATCCCAGCACTTTGGGAGGCCGAGGCGGGTGGATCACGAGGTCAAGAGATCAAGACCATCCTGGTCGACAGGGTG